TTAATTGTTACAATTACAAACATACAATGAAGTATCCCCCACCCCACACTTAAAATGAAGACATGTCCCCATGGCTTAAAAATTTAAAGAACAGTGAGGTTAAGGAACTTCCCTGAAGGCTCACTCCTGATCGGAGACAGTGTCTGGGTTCACGTTGCACGCACGTCCCAGCGCTCTCAACCAGACCAAGAATTTCTTCTCCGACTTCACTTGCCTCTCAGCCACCGCATCATCACAGGCACCCAAATTAGTGATTGAGGTACGCAACCCAACCATATCCTGCTCTAAAGCTGTCATACGGGTGCTCCAGCGTGGCTGTGATGGGCCTGCCACATCAACTCTCGGAGGAGGAGGAACCGCAGCTACCTCAGCATCATCATCATCATCATCAGCTGAATCATCATCAGAGTCATCAACATTCACCACCGGCTCTCATCCAATTCCAACTTTTTCGCCCGGAATGGGGCTTTTAGTGGAAATATCCCATCAACCCGAGGATCTTCAGGGACTCTAGCAATACAGCACAGCCGGGTAATCAGCGAAGGGAAGTAGTGGCCCTTGGTTAGCTAAGGTGATCTAATGAACATCTCTTCATGGATGAGCCGGGCCACATCAAAATCACTGTGGGACATGAAACAGTGGATTGCGGACGCCCGTGGTAGATTAACATCTGTCGTGTTGCTGGACGGCAACAATCGACTGTTGACAATGGTGAGCCAACACTTAGCCTCCCAATTCAGACAGTGGGAGTTAAGAGTAATCCTGTCCTTGATCCATAGGTGTTCTCTATCCGGCACACAGATAGTATCAAGAAGAGTTCCCCACAAGGCCCGTGTACCGCTAAAAGTACGATAAGGATCAAATTCACCCCAAAACACTGGCAGCCTGTATACCCTGCGGATGGTGTTGAGGGATGCATTTACCGGGGTATTGCGCACCGTCACAACCCCATTCTCATGTTCTGGAAAGTTCGCATAGAACTCCCTTACTAATTGAACATTAGCCTCCTCCGGTACCTCGAAGAAGATGTCCAGCTGACACCGCCTCAGCTCATTAAACATATTGGGGCATTCCACCTCCAAAGCCGTGCAATCAATGTGCACCTTATGTTGTAACTTCTTAGCTGCTTTCTGGTTGTACCTATCCTCCGCTGCTCTGGATACAAACCGAGTGCTATCGAACTGAGGTGCACTGGCTTGGCTCCTAGCTCGTGAGGAGCCTCCTAGTTCACTAGTGGAGGGTCCGGTGTTTCGTCTCTTCCTGGAAAAACTCATTGTACCTGTCATACAACAAAACGCCTATTAGTGAGTGTGCAAAATATATGACTATGGATGGTTACTCAGACTTCACCATAACCATGTCACAATAGCTCCTTATATCTCCATTGGGGCAATTTCCCAAACACCTTGTGAGCAGGGCACTATCCAAACACATATTGCCCTCATTGGTACGTCAAAGCTCCTCCCCAATCAAGTATACTACCATACCAACACACTCCAAACTTGTGTCATTCAATCACCCACCAACAAACACCGTTCCAAACATTAATTACACATCCCCTTCACCAAACATTCTCATAAACGAAATTAAAATAGAAAAAACAAGGAGAAGAAACTACAAAAAAATCTACTACAATTACAACACCATATCAACATAAAACTACATAAGCTACAACACAATACAACACAAAACCAGAGAAAAGAGAAAGGAGAGGTAAGTACATACCTTAGTTGAAGAATGGTGAGAGGAATGGCGGTGGGGGATGTTGATAAGAGTGAAGAAGAAGGAGAAGAAGAAGGGATTTGGGGGTTAGGGTTTTGAAGAGAGGGAGATGAAGAATTAGAATGCGGGGGGG